GCCCTCCTCCTCCTCCTCCTCCTCCTCCTCCTCCTGCTCCTCTTCCTCCTCCTCCCCCTCCTCCATCTCCTTCTCCTCCTCTTCCTCCTCCTCCTCCTCGTCTTCCTCCTCCTCCTCCACCCCCTCCCTCCTCGCCCCCCTCCTCCTCCGCCCCCCCCTCCTCGCCCCCACGCCGAAGACAGCCCAAGAGAGACCCAAGAGGGCCCGAGACGGCCCAAATGGGTCGTCCTGTTGGGCTCACGGAGCCCCCCGGGACTGCCCGAGAGGCCCCGAAGCCACCCCCGGAGGCCCCCGAGACGGCATCAGGGAGATCCAAGAGGGCCTCGTTCGAAATCATGTTCCCGGAACCCTCGCCGGGACATGATTTCCCGGTTCCCAGGGCGCCAGCGGCGAAATTGTTGGTCCGAATCTGGGATCTATCTTGAAGTCGGGCCTGTCCTTCTACAGGAGGAATATTGAACAAAGATAAAGTAGACTTGCGCTACCGAGGGAATTCACATACTTATATTATGGATGGAGTTATGATAGCTGAAGTGAAGCATGTGAGAATGCTGTTGGTGGCCATTCCCTGCGCACCCCCTTATGGTGTCGAGAAAGTGCCACGCCTGTTGCGCCCTGGACGACCCGCTCCGACAGCGGCCGCGTTCAGAGACCACCTCCCGCGGACTCCCTAAGGTCATGACAATATGCCACGCCTGCTCCGCCAGCGTCCCCCTGTGCCCTGAGCACGACTGGCACGGATAGCAAATTTGCGTGCCGATGTGCCCTGAGCACCGCCGTCACGGATAGAGGCCGCCCTCAAGGACCACCCTGTGCGCACCCCCTGTGGTGTCGAGAACATGCCATGCCTGGTATGCCCTGGACGACCGTCACGGACAGCAGCGCCTTGGACGACCGGCAAGGATAGCGACCGCGCTCAGGGACCACCCCGTGCGCACCCCCTATGGTGTCGGGAAAGGTGTCACTCCTGCTATCCACTGGACGACTGGCACGGATAGTGGCCGCGTTCAGGGACCACCCCGTGCGCACCCCCTTTTGGTGTCGGGAAAAGCGCCACTCCTGCTATGCATTGGACGACCGCACGGATGCCGGCCGCGCTCAGGGACCATTCCTTGCGCACCCCCTCTGGTGTCGAGAAAGTGCCACGCTTGCTATGCCCTGCGCCATGGCCCGCGTAGACGCCGCGCTCAGGGACCACTCCCTGCGCACCCCCTTAGGCATCGAGAAAGTGCCACGTTTGCTATGCTTTGCGCCATGGCCCGCATGGGCGCCGCGCTCAGGGACCGCCCCCTGCGCACCCCCTATGGTGTCGAGACAGTGCCACGCTTGCTGTGCCCTGCGCCATGGCCCGCATAGACGCCGCGCTCGGGGACCACTCGTTGCGCACCCGCTCTGGTTTCGAGAGAAAGTGCCACGCCTGTGGCGCCGTGCGCCGTGACCCGCATAGACGCCGCGCTCAGGGACCACCCCTTGCGCACCCCCTATGGTGTCGAGTAGTTACCACCGTTGCCAGGCAGTGCGCCATGGCCCGCATAGACGCCGCCCTCAGGGACCACCCCCTGCGCACCCCCTATGGTGTCGACAAAACCCCACGCGCGCTGTGACCTGCGCCATGGCCCGCATAGACGCCGCCCTCAGGGACCACCCCTTGCGCACCCCATATGGTGTCGGGAAAGTGCCACTCCTACTATGCCCTGGACGACCAGCACGGATAGCGGCCGCGCTCGGGGACCACTCCTTGCTCACCCGCTCTGGTGTCGAGAAAGTGCCACGCTTGCTATGCCCCTCGCCATGGCCCGCATCGACGTCGCGCTCGGGGGCCACCCCCTGCGCACCCTCTATGGTGCCGAGGAGATGCAACACCTGCAATGTTCTGCGCCATGACCCGCATAGACGCCGCGCTCGGGGACCACCCCCTGCGCACCTCCTTATGGTGTCGAGAAAGTGCCACTCCTGCTATGCCCTGCGCCATGACCTTCATAGACTCCGCCCTCAGGGACTACACCTTGCATACCCCCTATGGTGTCGACAAAACCTCACGCGTGATGTGCCCTGGACGACCGTCGTGCTGTGCCGTGCTGAGCTGAGCTGTGCTGTGCTGTGCTGAGGTGCTATGCTTAGCTTTGCTGTGCTGAGCTAAGCTGTGCTGGGCTGGGCTGGGCTGCGCTGTGTGAAAAGGACACGGAGGAGGAGGTGAACTGAGGGTCGGGGGTGCGACGCGGCAGGGATGAAAACCAGATCCCAACGAAACATGTGGGGAATAATCAGGGGACGATTCTTTGATTATTTCCGAGCATTTGTGAAGATTTGTTTGCTATTTTCATAATTTGTCGTCCAAAATCCGCGTGTAGGGGACACGCCCGATCTGGGATCTATCTCTGTCCACCGCCCGGAAGGCGGCGGATGCAGACCAATTTGGGCCCCCCAGAAAATCCATTTGTGCCCGCATTCGCCGCCCGCCTGGGGCCCCAGGGAGGCCCAGGCGGCGGAGATGGAGAGGCCCTGTCTCGCACGGGAAGCGAAGTGCGAAGAATCTGGGTCACGCGCCCCAGACCCCCAAGCGTCAGGAGCTTCTTCGTGACGCGACCCCCGGAGGTCCGGACCCATTCCCGGGACCGGCTTTTCATCCCGAGTCTTGACGGTCCCGAGGCTTGGTGAGGGACCCCGGAGGCCGAAAATGGCGAGCAACTCCCCGTCGCGATTTCATCCTGAGTCGTTTTTTTGACGGTCCCGAGGCCCTGGAGGCCGAAAATAGCGAAAACCTTTCCGTCGTGTTTCTTTCACGACGCGAGGGGTTTGGGGCCGAAAATTGCGAAAAACGTTCCGTCGTGATTTTCGTCACGACGCGAGGGGGTCGGGGGCCGAACATCGCGACAAACCTTCCGTCCTTTCGTCACGACGCGAGGGGGTCGGCGGCCGAACGTAATTAGCAAAAGACCGTCCGTCGTGATTTTCGTCACGACGCGAGGGGGTTACTGGGGCCGAACGTCCGCGGGGAGCGCGAAAGGTCGCACTCCGCGCGTTGCGGTCGGTGCCAGAGCGGTGGCCCTGGTCCGACTGGGCGGCGCGAGGGCGCGAGGGCGCGAGGGCGCGACGACGACTGATATTACGAGTGCTACTGTTTTTGAACCAGACGAATCATATGAATAGAAACTGTACTACTGATATTAATGTTTATACGATTAACCATTACATTCAAAAGATATGGAGGAGGAAGAGGAGGAATAATACTAATAATAATAATTCGAAACCAGAATAACCATGATAACAATAGTAATAGTATCAATACTGATAGTAATAACAACACGATGGCTAATACTACTACTACGACTACTACTACTACTACTACTGCTACTGCTACTGCTACTGCTACTGCTACTGCTACTGCTACTGCTACTACTACTACTACTACTACTACTACTACTACTACTACTACTACTACGCATAACAATAATACTAATAATAATACTAATCATAATAATAATAATGGTAATACTAACACTGAAAATAATAATCATAATAATAATGATAATAATAAAAATACTGTTAATAATGATCATAATCAGAATAATAGTACTATTAATAAGAATAATGATAATAATAATAATGCTCATAATGCTAATAATGATACTAATCGGAGGAGGAGGAGGAGCGGAAAATGAGGAGGAGGAGGAGGAGGAGGGATGGGAGGAGGAGGGGGGGAGGAGGAGGAGGAGGAGGAGGAGGAGGAGGAGGAGGAGGAGGAGGAAGGAGGAACAAGATGGGACAATGAGGGGAAAAGGAAGAGTAGGAGGCGAGGAGGAGGAGGAGGAGGAGGAGGAGGAGGAGGAGGAGGGGGCGGAAGAGGGGGGAGAGAGGAGGACGAGGAAGAGGTGTCGTTTTGGGCCTCCTCGGGCCGCCTGGGGGTGAGGAGCGCCCAGAAGCTTTTCGGACCACGACCCACGAAACTCGTGAAGTGCATTGAGCCTTCGACCCCCCTGTCCGTTGTTGGGCCGTTGCCCAGGACCAAGCTAGAACCGAAGCGCGCGCGTGGTTCTAGTAGCTATATATATATACAGATAGATAGTTGTGTATCGAAGTATGGGTTCGGATACGGTCTCGAGCATCAACACTGTCGCTGAGGGCAATAACGATGTCCCCAGGCTCAGCGCAATGCGATGCGAGACCCTCGACGAGCCCAGTGACACGCGCCCCGAGTACATGCCACGCTTGTCTTGCACCATGCAGCTCTACTGGCTGACGTTGAATACTTTTGGCAATGAGCCGCAAGGAGAGAGGAAGGAGTGTAGATCAGGAGCCCCGAAGAATTATGGGAAGAGCAGATGTAGCATCTAGGCAGTCGGGGTGATTCGTTTTGGATCCGAACGATTCTCAGTCGCTGCTAGGACGGAAGAACAGTTCATCGCTTTCTCGCAGATTCTCCAGCAGCCCTTAGAGGCCCACGCTGATTTGTATGCGCTTGCGCGCCATCGTGAGTTGAGGTTCGTACAAGCGAAAGGAGACAGACTCCCGGATGGCTTTCACCAGGTGTTCGGCATTCGGACTCAGAGCGGCATCGGCTTCGGTCCCCCGATCTCTCGCGCCGGGCGCTGGGCTGCCAACCGTGATGGTCACCTGCGCTGGCTCCCTCGGTCTTGTCCCGCCGCCAAAGAGAAGAGAGTCCTGGAGCTTGGGCCCCCCAGGCTCGTTGGGCCCCGAAGCGGTGCGGTGATGTGTATGCCGCGCGGTGTCTCGCAATCTCAAATGACACCGCGCAGTCCGTCACCGTACGGTCTTGGGCCCCCTGGAGACCCCAGTTGCCCGGATGGCCTCCTCGGAGAACGGCCGAAGGGCCCCAAAGCCGGGGCTTCGCCCCGACGTTACCACTCGTGTCGCCCAGCAGTGTTGTTCCCCCTGCCGGCAGGTCCGCGGGCACCATTTCTTTGAGCACCTGCAGTGGGACGCCATCCTGGGTCACACGGCCGTGCCGCCGTACGTCCCGCCGCGCAAGGTGTCTTTCAGTCCCCTGCCCAGCGCGCTAGGCCGAGTGACCGAAGACTGCCCCTGGTCTTGCCCTGACGAGGCGAGTGAGGAGGAGGAGGAGGAGGAGGAGGAGGAGGAGGAGGATGAATAGAGGGCATTGGGCATTGGTTGCACAGATGACAGCAGATTTTCGGTAGCTATGTATGGCACGTCGTTGCATCAGTTCGTGTCATCCGTGATCGCAGGATGTGTCCTGGACAAGGCCGTTCAGACAGTAGCAATCAGAAACATTGTTTATAGCAGAAGGGCCACATCAACATGTTGAACTGGCCTGGGGGAAGGAAATGACCAATTCGGTCCAGTTCGGTGCGGTTTCGGTCTGGAGAGGATTCACTCGGCTCGGTTTGACGCCGGTTCGGTTTCGGCTGGTTCGGTTTTGGTTTGGTATTGGTTCGAATCGGTTCCGGTTTTCCGACCGAGCAGTACGATCGGTTCTGGTTCGAGTCAGTTCCGGTTCGAGTTGGTTTTGGTTCTGTTCGGGGTTCGGCGGCGTGAGGCGGGGGCATACGGGGTCCTATGGGGGTCCATCGGGGGCCATGGGGGCCCATGGGGGCCTAAGGGGGCCTGCGGGGGCCTAGGGGGGCCTAAGGGGCAGGAGGCCTAAGGGGCCCTACGGGGGCCTATGGGGGCCTACTGGGGCCTACGGGGGCCGATGGGGGCCAAAGGGGGCCTGATGGGGGAATGTGGGGGGCTTGGGAGAGCTTTTTGGGAGCGACGTCAACGGCCGGCGACCGCAGCGCCGACGACGCCGACGACGACGACGCCGACAACTGCGGCGGCGGCGGCGACACGCGATCCGCTGAGCCGCAATAGGCCCCCACAGGCACCCTTGGGGTCCCAGAAGACCCTCATAGGCCTCCATAGGCCCTCATAGGCTCCTATAGGCCCCCATAGGCCCTCATAGGCTCCTTTAGGCGCCCTTGGGGCTCCCTTGGGCGCCCTGGGCTCCCATAGGCTCCCATTGGCGCCCCCGAACCCCGAAAGGCCCCTCGGGCCCCCTCGGGCTCTTCCCCCCTCGAAGTCCGGACTTGGGAGGGTGTCCGGTCCTTTTCAGCTCCAGGTTCGGTTCCAGTTTTGGTCCGCCGGTTCGGTTCCGGTCTGGGTCTGGTTCGGTTCCGGTCGGGTTCGGTTACAACCGTTTCGGTTGTGTACGGATTTGGTTCGGTCCGGTTCGGTTTTGATGTTTTGTGTCTTGGCCAGCTCGGTCCGGTTCGGTCACGGTTCTCGGCTCTCGGTTCTTTGTTCGAGTTGGTTTGCCATGTAAGAATAATCTATTACCTATACGACCACCCTTCGGGTGATAAGGAGGTTGTGGGGGGGGGGAGAGGGGGGGGAACCAACATCTGACTCAATCGATCTCACTATCGATCTCACTCAACAGGACACCACGGGACTCTTGTCGATCTCACTATCGATCTCACTATCGATCTCACTCAACGGGAAACCCCAGGCCACCACGGGACACCAAGGGACACCGCGGGACACCTCTCGATGTCACTGTCAATCTCACGATCTCACTCAGCGGGACACCGGGACACCACGGGACACCTCGGGACACCACATCGATCTCACTATCGATCTCACGATCGATCTCACTATCGATCTCACTCAACGGGACACCTTGGGACACCTGTCGATCTCACTATCGATCTCACTCAGCGGGACACCACGGGACACCTCGGGGCACCACATCGATCTCAGTATCGATCTCAGTATCGATCTCAATCAATGGGACACCACGGGACACCACGGGACACCTGTCGATCTCATTCATTATCGATATCATTATCAATCTCACTCAACGGGACACCACGGGACACCTCGGGGCACTCACATCGATCTCAGTATCAATCTCACTATCGATCTCACGATCGATCTCACTCAACGGGACACCACGGGACACCACGGGACACCACGGGACACCAGCGGGACACCGGCGGGACACCGCGCGGCACCGGCCGCTTAGGAGCAACATTTGGTTTGGCCGCGGCCCAGCCACAGGAGGATTTCGGGACACCCGCGAGACACCGGCGGGACACAGCGCGGCACCGGCCGCCGGAGGAGCAACATTTGGTCTGGCCGTGGCCCAGCCACAGGAGGATTTCCTTTCGCCCGCCCACGCAGCTTCGCCTCGCCCGCACGCACACGGCACGCACGACACCGGCCGTAATCGAGTTCCCTGTAGGGGGGGTTCTCCGTTTCACGTCGGACTCACCCCCCAACCTCTGTATACTGTAGAGGAGAAGGATGCGGAGGAGGGCATAGGGGCAAGGATGTGGGACGCTCGGGAGGGATGGCGGAAGGAGGGATTTTTGTTGGACATGTTTTATATTTCATGATATTCTGTCCGTCTCCCCTTCTAGCCCTCCTGCGCCATCCCCGCCGCTTCCCCGCCATGGAGGTCTGGTGTTCCCAACCATCCTGTGCTGCTGGGTCCTCGTGTTGAAGTGACAGGGCCCCGCCTGGTGGGTACTCCTGGGCACGTGCAGCCTCGGCCCGGCAGGATGGCCGCAAGAAACCTCCGATGGGGGCACACCCAGCAGCGTGAGGCCTGGGAGTTGCTGGCCCGCAAGGAGTGCCCAGAGTTCTGAGATTCAGTGCTTCCCTCTCCCAGGGGTCGCCCAAGGCGCCGTCCGTCCTGGCCAATGACAGGGCACCTGCTGCCGAGATGCCCAAGCTCCAGGGCGAGCTCAGGCAGGCGCAGTCCGAGCGGGACACGGCCAGGGGCGAAGGAGGCCAAGGCAACGACTGCCAAACCCTACCCTTTCGGCATGGAGGTCGACTCGGGAGCCATTGTCGTGCAGTCGGAGGCCGAGGTCGAGTCTTCGATGGTCAAGGAGCTGAGCGGCTTGCTCAGTCTGCTCGAGGGCGCCGGCGATTCCGCGGGCCAGGTGGCGATGTTGTGCAAGGATTGGGCAGCAGATCTCGAGCAACTGCGGCCCAAGTAACTGGGCCAGAAGCCACTGCCTGTTCAGGTCGAAGTGCTTTCGCAGCAGATCAAGGCGCCTGAACGCAAGGCAGAGGCCAAGCGCGAGGCCACGGTCAGGATCCAGGACCAGGCGCGCGCCGCCCAGCCGCAGCATGACGAGGTGGCGGCGGAGGCAGCCTCCATCCAGAAGGAGATTGCGGCGCTGGAGGTCCAGCGTGCGGATGTGGCGGTGCAGTTCCCGCAGACCGCGACTGTCGTCGACGGCTTCGAGGCATCGCTCGACTCTGCGCTGCCGAGTATCCAGATGTCAGCGGCACAGATGGCCGAGGTGCTCGGGAGATTGGTGCCGACGAGCAGCTGACCAGGGACTTGCACAGCGTGGCTGGGCGAGTGCGCGAAGCTGGGGTGCGAGCGCAGGCTGAGCGGCTGGCGAAACTGGATCGCCTGCGTTCGCAGGCAGCTATTGCGCCCGGCACGTCCGTGCCGCCAGCAACGGAGCCAGCTGCCGTACAGACGCCTGCTGCTCGGGTCCTTCGCATCCCTGTTTGGGCGGACGCTCCCAAGTGCGTCAAGTATACCATCGGGGCAGGGGGCCGGGAGGTGCTGACTGATGAGTCCGACCTTTTCGAGGCGGCCAAGCGCTACTGCGATCCTATGGGTCCGAGAGCCTTGCCAAGCGCCAGCGCCTTGAGAGCCCATGCGCGGAGGCCACTGCGTAGACTTGTCCTCTGCCTCGTGATCATGACTCATGATGACGTCCACTGTGAACCAGGTTTCGGCCGTTGAGCTCGATGGCGACAATGTTACTTCGGCGCCGGGCTGGCTCCTGGCGGGCGCCACTAGCAGAGCTGGAGGCAGCTTCGGCGGCCCTGGAAGAGGCCCCAGCGGCGACCCCGGCGGCTTCGCCAGCGGCCCCGGCGGCCCCTGCAGGGGCCCCCGGCGGCGGCGCTTTGGGCGCCGGAACCCTCGCAGGGGCCCCAAGCCGCACTGATCACAACCACCAGTTTGTGATCATTCGCTCCCACGGCCCTGGCAGCGGCGCCGGGGCAGCGGCCGCGGAAGCGTTTCAGGCGGCCTAGGAGGGGGGCCCGGCGAACGCGCGGCACGACGTGGCGGCCCCATGCACCAACGGCCCCGCTCAGTGGCCGCGGCGGATTGGGCAACGGCCACGGCGGCCCCGCTGGCGCGCCGGCTGGTCACCTCGACGGTCTCGGCGGCTTCCCTGGCGGCGGCGGCGCCGGCGGCCTGCCGCGAGAGGAGGAGGGGGCTGTGCACCTCAAGCCCATCGACGAGGCAATATCGAAATGCTGCCGTCGGCAGCTGGCGTGGGGAGGACCCGCTCACGGGCGCGGGGCCTCGTCGCCCCCTTTTTGTCAGGATCGCCGATGTGCGGTCTGAGTCGATGCCCTGACAAGGCGGTGGGCTCTACCCCTGTCGTGCCTGGCCTCGCGGCGCAGGAGCCAGACAGTCTGGCTCCTGGGCCCCCTGTGTAGGCTGAGGCACCTGTCATCAAAAGGGAACCGCGCTGTCCTCGGCAAGGCGGATGCGCTGCAGCAGCGCGTGCTCAACCTTGGTCACCACGGCACGTGGGATCCTGCGCCGCCTTCAGATGAGGGCGCCACCAAAAGAGGCTGCGTTGCGCTGGCCAAGGCTGACATCCAGGTCACCGCGCCGCCGCTGCCTGGTCCCAGGCAGGGCCAAGGCGGCGCGCGTTCACTGTGGCGTGGCAGGGGGGGTTGTGGTGGCCCCTGTCTCCTGCGCGATAGCTTCGGCCTGGGCGTCTCCAACCGGGAAATCCTGAGATCGGTGGGCCACCACGTGCTGGACGTTGCCAGCTGTTGATTCGCCTGGGCAATCGGAGGCGATTTCAATGTGGCCCCCGAACTGCTGTCTCCGTGGTTCAATTCGGCGGGTTAGGTGTTGCTGTCGACTTCGGCGGCTACGTGCCGTCAGAAGCTGCCTGGCACCAATCTGGATTTTTCGGGATGGACGGCCGCCTGCTGAGTCGGGCCCAGGTGCTCGAAGTCTACGAGGCAGCCGATTCCTTTC